GCTGACACCCTCAATTTCAAAAAGCTGCAATACGCTTCGATAAGCCTGGTGCATCTGCCAGACTCTATATTGTCTGTTTTTACCCGAGCCGATGAAAACGGTCATTTTGTGCTGCACCCTGATACCGCCGGGAAATACGTGATGCTCATTAACTTTCCGGGCTTTGCCGAGTTTATAGACGTGATAACGGTAAAGCCGGATGAGCCGGTAAAAGTCGGTACCATTCCGATGTTGTCGCGGACCCAACTCTTGAATGAATTTATTGTCCGGCAGCGGATGGGTGTGATCAAGATAAATGGGGACACGACAGAGTACGTGGCCGATAGCTTTAAAGTGCATGATAATGCAACGGTGGAAGATCTGCTGAAAAGACTACCCGGACTGCAGGTGGATAAAAACGGAGGCATCACTGCCCAGGGTGAGAAGGTACAAAAGGTATTGGTGGATGGAGAAGAGTTTTTCTCTGATGATCCGGCTGTAGTGACGAAAAACCTGGACGCGAAATCAGTAGAAGCCGTACAGGTATATGACAAGAAAAGTGACGAAGCCATTTTTACCGGCATTGATGATGGGGAGAAAACAAAAACGATCAACCTGAAATTAAAGGAAGACCGGAAGAAAGGCTATTTCGGCAAGCTGCAGGCAGGCGCGGGTACCGATAACTATTATGAAACCCAGGGTATGCTCAACGCCTTCAAAGGCAAGCGGCAACTATCAGCTTTTGGCATCGGTGCTAATACCGGTAAAATGGGGCTTGGCTGGGAAGACCGTGATAAATATGGCAGTGGCAATAACCGGTCTTATGATGAGGAGAGCGGCAGTATGATGACCTACTTCAACAGTGATGATAATGAGAACGTCAGCTGGCAGGGCACTTATAACGGCGAAGGCATTCCAACGGCATGGACAGGTGGCTTGCATTATAACAACAAGTACAATGAAGGTAAGCAGGAGCTGGGGGGAAATTACCGGTATGCCAAGCAGCGTATCAATGCGGAAGGACTTACCACAACCCAATATTCGCTCCAGGACACTCAATATGTAAGAACCCAACGCCGGGAAACCTCTACAGATGGCCAACGCCATGCT